TTGAAAAATAATCACTTTGTACAGGCCATCAAGAAAGAGGGTTTTTTCTCCATCTCTGGGAGACTGTCCCGGTTTAAAAAAGAGAGAGAGAGAGAGAGAAAGGCTTAAACCAATACAAGCTACAAGAGTCATTTATTAATGCCTTGAACACTGTACTGAACTGGAAACATCATCAAATCCAAGCACATATAGCAGCAAGGCACACGGCACGGGAGAATCCCAAGTCCTGGAACAAATTCAGAACCTCACACATCCAAATACAATCATAAACCACAAAATGCTCCAGTTACTTTTGACCATGGCCAGTACAGGACAACTGCGATTTTTAAAAAAGCCTCTTATCTTATGTCAGGCCATTTCACAACATTGAGACACTTCGATTTGGCCTCTGCATGCAGTGGAACAAGGTGGCGGTGGGGGGGACAGAACAGACTGTACCACTTCAGACTGCAGGGGGGGCTCTCTCTCTCTCTCTCTGATGAAGAAACAGGTCTGTAGTCTGGGGGTGCTCTTGGGCCAGGCCTACTGCTGGATAAGTCTGGGTAAGCTGTAGCCAGGAGTGGCGATTACCAGCTTCGACTGGTTAGCATTTACTTGCCAAAATAGATCTGGTCACTGTGGTGCTTGCGCTCATGACATCTAGAGATTACTGCAATGCACTCAACGTGGCGCTGCTCTTGAAAACTGTTTAGAAACTTCAGTTGGTGCAGAATGCTGCATCCAGGATGTTGACTGGAGTGGGTTGCAAGGATCAGGTCAGTCTTGGCTTATCTACACTGGCTTCCAATCAATCTATTTCCAGCCCCAGTTCAAGGTGCTGGTGTTGACCTTTAAAGCCCTATATGGCTGGGGACAGGCATATCTGAAGGACTGCCTGCTCCCTAAGAACATACCCAACTTCTATGGTCCTCTTCCACACCCCAGCTTAGTGTGCCCCTGGCTTTCTGACAGAGGCAAGTAGCAACCCAGTACAGGGCCTTCTTGGTGATGGCACCAAAACTGCGGAACTCTCTCCCCAGGGAGAGTCCCCTGTCCCCTTCTGTTGCTATTTCCACCAACAGGTGGACACTGTTTTTGTGTTATCTGGTGTTCCCTCAGTGATTCCCTCCTTCCTGCCCGATGTTTTAATTGTTGTTTTTATGTTTTTGTATGTGTATTTTAGCTCTGGTTTCAATGATGGGTTCATAATAGTTTTTAATGGTTTCTATGACGTGTCTGTCCTGATCTGGATAGCCCAGGCTAGGCCAATCTTGTCAGCTCTCAGAAGCTGAGCAGGGTCAACCCTTGTTAGTACTTGGATAGGAGACCATTAAGCAATACCAGGGTCACTATAAAAAGACAGGCAAATGGCAAGCCACCTCTGAACATCCCTTGCCCTGAAAACGCTACGGGGGTCACCATAAGTTGGCTGCAACTTGACAGCAAAAAAAAAAAAAAAGACGAAGCATGTTTTTTAATCTGTTGGCAGCCTTGGTGATCCTGATGAAGCAGAAAGGCAAGGTATAAATTTTATAAACAAATAAAATGAATTACTGGAATTACTCTTCAATCACCTTCCCTCACCACACTGTGCAAAAAGGAGATGAGAAGTGGGGAAGAGTGAGGGGCCAAAGCTAGGTTCCTACACTGTTTCTGAGTGTCTGAGTTTAGCCTTTATGTTATCCTTTTGGACATTCAGTAAATTAACCAACATTTATGGCCTGCAATGCCCATTACAGACGCTGAATTGCGGGCTGTGGAAGGGCGGTAGTTCAGCAGTTCGAGACCCGAGTGTGCCGCATGACGGAGTGAGCTCCCGTCTCTAGTTCCAGCTCCTGCCAGCCTAGCAGTTTGAAAGCAAGAAATTGCAAGTAGATAAATAGGTACCACTTCGATGGGAAGGGAACAGCGTTCCGTGCGCCTTGGTGTTTAGTCATGCCGGCCACATGACCACAGAAATGTCTTCGGACAGCGCTGGCTCCTCGGCTTGGAAACAGAGATGAGCACCGCAACCCTAGAGTCCGACTCGACTGGCTTTCGAGCAAGGGAACCTTTACCTTTACCTTTTTAGGGCCTGCAAGATGGAGCTCTTCCATCAGGCCTTTAGTTGAGGCGGCGGGCATCCATTTTGATTATGCCTCCCCGCCAGTGACCGCAGAACCTGAAAGCCAGACTGGGACCACAACTATCTCCCTTGAGGCACGTTGTTTTAAATGCTGATGATATTATTGAAAAGGTTGATGATTTTATGGTTTTTAATAGATTACTGTAATATGTTTTAAATTGTAGATCTGCATTAACTGCAGATATATACATATTGGTACCCACCCTGAGCCTACAACATGGGGAGGGCAGAATATAAGTTTAATGAAATAAATAAAATAAAGAAACAGCAAGATGTCACAGGTTCATTTTTCCCAACCCCAAGAGTAGACATAACTGATGCAAGCAGCTTGCTTCCCACTAAGCCCTCAGCCTGGAAATGGATCAAAACTCACCAAAGGCTTTGGCATTTTGAAGATACAGAAGTCATTTTAAAGGTCAAACTTCAAATGTGATACAGACTGGATCCTTGAGCCACGGTACTTCAGGAGGTCTCCAGAGCCATAGGATTTGAATTCCAAAAAGTCTAAGGCAAATCCCATTATTTCTTCCTGTGTTAATCATACTTTGCCAAAGCAGTGAAGAGAGAAATACTGTGGCGATGGCTACTGGCTCAGATGACTTTCTAAATAATGAGCAATAACTATCCATTTTAATCCAACCCTTCCTTCAAGGATCTCGAGGTAGCCTAGATGGTTCCTTCACAAGGAAGACAGAGTCACTCTAGCAATGGATATTTTCTATGACAGCTAACTAGAACCTTCATGTTCAGTAGCAGTATGTCAGAACACTGGATGCTGCAGACAAACAACTGGGGGAGGGGTGCTGCCTTTGGTTTGTTTCTGAATTTTCCCGAAACACCAGGCTGGCTGCTTTTGGCAACTGACTGATGAAGTGACAGGCCCTTTGATCTCATCTGTTAACACATTTATAACACCCTGACCACATGGGACAGAGAAAAGAATTTCGTTTTCAGCTTCATACGTGAGACCTCTGAATGAGAGAAAACAACAGAGGCTCCAGTGTATCAAAAAACATCTTTTCCCACAACCAGCAACAAGATTAAATCCAGTCACACTTGGAAGGCAGAAGAACTGCTTCCCTAGTTTCACTTATAAATAACCTCTGTCTGTACAATAATTTCTACATTTAAAACAGGGGCTCCCATACTTTTTAAGCCTGTGGGGATCTTCGGAACTCTAACATAGGATGCTGGACGCAGCCACAATATGGCTGCCACAGGAAGCGAACTCATACACTCATCCAGAGGAAGGTCAAGTGAAGAGAAGATGAGGGGTTAACTTGGGAAAAAAATACAATGGGGAAGATGAGAGAGAATAAAACCAACACTATAATGTCAGTGGTCGCCAAAGCAATGTTATTTTACTCACAGCCATGTCAGATCACCAATGTCCTATTAGAAGCCATGCTGGGCAAGGGGCCCACCTGACCCCACCCACTTCCTGAAAACACTTTGCAAACACCAGGAAAGGTGTCTGCAGGGGCCATGGAGCCCACTGGCACCTTGTTGGGGACCCCTGATTCAAAGTATGATGCACTTCATGCATTTCCACCTGCATAACAAAAAATTGCTACAAGCTAGTTGAGTATTTCCTGAACCTGGCTGGTAGTACTGCCTGTAACATATGTTGTTACTCTAGTATGCCAAAATAGTAATAATTTTAAAAATACTTAGGACAAGCAGTACCAAACACCCAGATACTACATCATTAAAAACAGCTACGTTTTGCTGGCTGGCACTGAACACTGACACACCAGCAAAACTATTCAACATTGGACAGTAAAATTAAAAACATACTTACTTAGATCCTGCTCTACTTATATGGCTAAAAGAGGTGATAGAATTCTGAAGTATCAGGACGCATTGTACCATTTCAGACTGCAGAGTGAGAGATGCCACTCTGAACATTCCCTCAAATAAACATTTCTTGCAAATAAAAAATTGACACATCAGGGAGAAAGGTTCTAGCCTAGACCTTTCTTCTTGCTGTGAATTATTAATGCACAGGAAAATTTGAAAAAAGTAATCCCTCACTTGCAATCAGAAGCGGTATGGTTCATCCGATCACATAATTCTGCTGCACATCCAGACCAGGTCCTAGATTAGTACTTAAACAGTTCAGATTTTTGTGAAATTGATGGGAATTTGGCATAAAACATACATAAGACTAGGCTGCAAAATGTATTAAAGCCATAGGAACAGCTAGACTCAAACTCTTCTCTTGTATTACTTATTTTAGTACATTTTTATCCTGCTCTTCCACCAAGGAACTGACAGTGGCATAGGTAGTTCTCCCCTTCCCCCTTTCACAACAACTATGTGTAGACGTAGCAGAACAAAGTTTGAGTACAGTCATTCAAACTTTGTTCTGCTGCTTCAGAGCAACAGGGCTACCCACCTGAATTTGTGTGCAGAAGTGTTAGGCTGAGAAAGAATAACTGGCCCAAGGTCACCCATGCAGTTGATTAGCAAAGCGACCACTGGAAACCCAGTTCTACCTGTTCCTAGTCTACCTGTTCCTACTACAGCACGCTGTATCTTTTCTCTGGGATTTAGTTTCCTGGGCAGCAAGTTGTCCAGTTTTCCTGTTCAGCCCACGATCACCTACAGACCGAAAAGGAGCAGCCCAGACTACTGGTTCTGCGCTTAGCCAGAAACCCGGCAGACAAAGGGGACGCTGAAGCGCAGCGACAAGAAAGGCGGGATTAGCAGTCAGGAAAGCACCTGGCGGCTCAGGCAGGGGAAGAGCCGCCGGCCGGCTACTCAAGCGAAGAACAAGACCAAAACCGTCAGAGCACAACCCGTCACCTCTCCCTAAGAGGAGAGGAAGGCCGCTTTCCCGCTCCCGAGGAGAGGCGTCTCTTAGTTCCCTGTCAAGCGGCAAGAAACGACTTACCAGCAGGAGGCAAGTGGAAGCTCTGGGCGCCGCCATGATGGACAAGGCGGGAGAGAGATCATGTGACGACCATGCGCCTGCGCCCTGCCCGCTACGTGAAGGAAACTGGGTTTGCTTCAATGGCCAATCAGGGCTGTCCCCCGCTTCGTCTTGGCGCGGCCAATCGGGTGCCTGACCGTCCTGCTGGGGGAGGCTTTGCCTGGCAAAGCGGGCGGGGTGGGGGCGTGGAAGTCGCGCTAAGCAGGGGAATAAGTGAAGCCCTGTCAAGCGACCAGGGGGTGGGACGGAGAATCGGTCTCTTCGCCCCTCCAGACCGGTAACCCTGGCTGAGGGACTGCGGCGCTGGGAAAACTGAACAGATTTTTTTACTCCAGCACAAACTTTTGCGGACTAGAGCCCATTTTGCCTCAAAAATAAACCGCAGTCTGTCAAGTGGTACGTTAAAGAGGTTCTTCCCCCCCCCAATGAATTTCTAAAGACTAAAACCCTAACAAGATTTTATTCCAGCATAAATGTTCAAGGAGTGGAGCCTGCTTCAGTAGATGTGTATATTGTGGTGGGTTCTACAGCAACAGACAGTATAGGGTTGCCAAGTCTGGGTTGGAAAATACCTGGAGACTTTGGGGGTGGAGCCAGGAGAGGGCGTGGTTTGGGGAGGAGAGAGGCCTCAACATAATACAATGCCATAGAGTCCACCCTTCAAAGCATCAATTTTCTCCAGGGGAGCTAATCTCTGTCGGCTGGGGATCAGTTGTAAAAGCGGGAGATCCCCAGGCCCCACCTGGAGGCTGGCAACCCTAAGACAGTACGAACTATATGCAGTATTTATTTATTTAATTTATAGCCAGCCCTGCCGAAGCAGACCCAGGGCGGCTTAACATAAAATTTATTAAACAGATAAAACAGAGAATCAAGAAACAGTAGAATAGTCCAGGGCATCTAACCCTTTACCAAAGTAATTTTCAGAAGCATTTTGTTACAGTACAGCCCTATTTCACCTGTGTGGGGGGGGGGGGTTTGTTTAAAAAAACCCTCCTGAATAATATCGTTTCAGCTGGAAATGACATTGCAGCATGATACAACAGTCCCCCACCCCCAACTTTCCTCTTGATGCCCTATTGAGCGCTGGCAGTGGTTTGCCATCCATAGGCAGACAATTGGCATCCCTATCCTTCATCCCCCACACTTCTGTCATTTCGCAGACTATGCAAAACAGAGATGTTCGGGAGGGCCTTTTTACAAGCAATGGAAAGGTAATGTAATGGGACACCTCAGGAGGATTCTTCTGTCAGAGAAGGGACAGTTTTTGTTGCCTTGGACGGCTGTCTGTTTCACTGTTTTCCCATTCTTCAATCCTAGTTCTACTACACTGTTTATTAGAAGTCTTTGCTGACTGACTGAATTGGCTTTCATCATGTTATATAATCTTCCTTGATTCTCACTGGGAAAGGCACCTGATAAATGATGATGATGAATCAGGGGTCATTTCCTGTAGGAGCACACAGGAGCGGAGCTCCGGCAGTAAAGTGCCCAGGGGGCAGGCACATGCAACAAGCCCCACCCCTTGCTCCCAGCAGCCCTCAGAGCAAGAAGCAGCCAGGTAAGCTGCAGAGCCCCCCCGGCCCCCAGTCCAAAACTGTCCAGTGGTACCTTTAAGACCAAGTTTTATTCAGGTACAAGCTCTCCCTCCTCTGCGAGGGCAGATCTACACGTTCCCCCCCCCAAAAAAAAAGCTAGCAATCCAAAACAGTCCAGTGGAGCCTGAGAGGTGGGCGTTGCCTTCTGACACACTTCCGGTGATGTCAGGGGGTATGGCATATGCAAATAAGTTATGCTAATAGGTTATGCTAATGAACTCCTGCACCTCTTTTTCTACTAAATGACCCCTGATGATGATGATTTGTCATGGGAGCCCTTGGAGCTGTGCCTGGAAGTCTCAAGAAACACCTGGACATTGTGGGCATTGAGCGAACAGCACCAGCTCAGCTCTAGAAGGCTTGGAACAGCAAGAAACCTATGAAAATACGTCAGCAATTCCCAAGAACTTGGCTAGATCTCAAATTGCAGAACACCATCTACCAGTCAAATATCTGAGTGTGACGACTCATAAGAATAATCCCTGCAGTAGTCCCCCATTGTCCTTGCTGTTCACCAGATTTGCAGGTTTTATCCAGTGGTTTTGAAAACTTGTTAAGACAGAGATACCAGGGGAGAGAAAGCAGTGCAAGTGTCTATTGTGGGCAAAGAGATTTCTGGCATTTCGGCATTACCTCTTTTTGTTCATCTCCAGTACTACCAGACTGGTGTTTATTTTTGTTGTGACAGGCCAACACAGCTTCCCCGCTAGAATCACCATATCACACACACGTATTTCATTAGCTTTTCCTCCTTCCAGAGTTAATATCACTTGGAGGTGATGATTTTGATGAGTGAAACTCAGCAGGGGAGAATTCTTTAGCAACCACACTATCACAACAATCCCAGTCGAGACCCCGTGGGGTTGCTTCTTCATTTGCGGAGAAGAGCCCCTCCTGAATTACCCAGCCTGTCCACTGATCTGACCCTGACAGATGAGGCACTGAGCTGAGTGTCACTGGAGCCCTGACTTCCCTGAGCCAACTTCCAAAGCAAGTGGAACTGAATATCACCAGTATTTATTGGAGAGATGCTGAAACAGCTTGTACTAAAATTCATTCCTAGGGATGGGCATGAGCCAGGAAAATGTGGTTTGGCTTGTGGTTCATGGCGTGCCCAGTTCGTGAGCCACGAACTGTCACAAACATTTAGGCTCCAAACAAACTGGACGAGGTAGAACAGGGCCCTGGCGTGCTAGGGACACCAAACTCGCAAGGGATCTCTGGCTAACGCTCCTCTACCTCCCTTGCAAGTTTGGTGAGGATTGGATTTACAGGTCTCTGAGATACCCCCCCCCAAAAAAAAAGGTGCCCCCAGGAAAGTGCTTTCTGGGGAAATGACAAGTGCAGGTTCAGGATGTTCAGGAGTGTGCAGAATGGACCCTGTGCAAGCTAGAGACATCAAACTCACTTGGGACCTCCCCCAGATGTTCCTCTACATTCCCTCCAAGTTATGTGCAGATTAGACTTGGAGGGGTTTGAGTTATGGCCCCAAAGAAGATGTTCTCAGGAATGTGCTTTTGAAGGAAATGTCAGATGCAGGTTCAAAAGTGTATAGAATGGACTTCTTGCAAGCCACACACACCAAATGCAGAAGCTGGAGAATTCTAACAACCCTTCTCCCCATTGCTTTGAAGTTTGGTAAACATTTTAATTGAGTGGAGTCACTTTGTCTGGAAATGTGTCCATTCATGAACCTCCAGAAACTGCTTGAAAGTTTGTGGAAAGTTCGTGCAGATTGACCTGCCATGAACTTCAGTTTGTGAACTTGCCAAAATTCATCATGAACATCAGGTCGTGAGCAGGGCTGTGCCTGTCTCTATCCACCCCCTCCCCCAGGTTGGCCCTGGCTAGCCTAATTTCATCGGATCTTGGAAGGCAAGCCAGTTTGGCCCTGGTTTGGAGGGGAGACCACCAAGGAAGTCCCGGGTTGCTACGCAGAGGCAGGCAATGGTAAATGACCTCTGTTTATCCCTTGTCTTGAAAACTCGAAAACTACTCCATTAACTTGACGCTGCACATAGACAAGAATGGACTAAAGCAACTGCAAAGATGGATTTCAGGCAATTCAGTAGGAAAGTCTGGAGCCTGTTGAAAAACTAGGTGCAAGCCCACCTGTACTCTGAGGAAATCTGGAGGTAACATCAAACCAGGTAGTTACCCAACTGGTATCCCTATCCAGAGCTCCGAAGGATCAAGATTTCACAATCAGGATAAAAAAAGAACTCCAGATTTTGAAACGCACCTGCCCTGAAGACTGTGAGCTGTCAAGGGATTTCAGTGCAGATGAGATTCCCAAGGCACTGAAGGACATCAAGAGCAGAGAGGCACAAGGCTTTGACTGCATCCATAATGAGTTCCTGATCAACAGCAGCACGTTCACTAAGAAGTGGCTCGCAGAGTTTCTCACTGACATCATGAGAACAGGAAGACTCCAAGGGGAAGTCAAGAAAGCAAAGATAGTTGCTATTCTGAAACCTGAAAGCAGGATATAAATATTTTAAATGAAATGAATATTGTTTTACAGATCAAGACTTACACACAGAAACATGCCACCTTGGACATTATTAATCCCAGTATACATGATCCCAATATAAAATATAAATATTTTAAATGTAATAAATATTGTTTTGCAGATCAAAACACACAGAAACACATACCACCTTGGGTATTAGGGATGGGCACGAACTGAGAAACGAACTGCAGTTCGTGGTTCATTTTGAACCAGCTTGGTCACGTCATTCCTGAATCCAAAAACAAACCGCCTTTTTCCTATGGAGGTTCGTTTGGTTCATTAGTACAGTTCGTTCTCCAGACAGCCTGGTGCTGATTCAATCATTTCCTAGGCAATGCTGGGGGTGGACTTGTTGTTGTTGTTCAGTCGCACAGTCGAGTCCAACTCTTCGCGACCCCATGGACCAGATCCTGCCAGGCCTTCCGGTCTTCCGCTGTCCTCTGAAGTTTGCTCAACTTCATGTTCGTTGCATCTATGACACTGTCAACCATCTCATTCTTTGCCGTCCCCGTCTTCTTTGACCTTCAATCTTTCCCAGCATCAGGGTCTTCTCCAGTGAGTGCTCCCTTCTCATTTGGTGGCCAAAGTATTTGAGCTTCAGTTTCATTATCTGGCCTTCCAGGGAACAGTCAGGGTTGATTTCTTTTAGGATTGACTGATTTGATCTTCTTGCAGTCCAAGGGACTCTCAAGAGTCTTCTCCAGCACCATAGTTCAAAAGAATCTATTCTTTGGTGCTCGGCCTTCCTTATAGTCCAACTCTCGCAGCCATACATGACTACTGGGAATACCATTGCTTTGACCATGTGGACTTTTGTTGGCAGGGTGATGTCTCTACTTTTAATCATGCTGTTTAGGTTTGCCATCGCTTTCCTCCCAAGGAGCAGGAGTCTTT